GTGAACATGTAAATATGTCCAAATTATAAGTGTTAATTTTACCTTCTTGATAAATGTGGAGGTCACTTGCCCTTTGTATACTGTCTTTTTCTATTCTATTCCTCAGTGGTTGATTCTAAATTAAATGACAATATGGTTCTTCAAATACTGAGTTTCTTTCAAAGCATGTCATTCTCAAGTTGTTTTTTCATAAGCAGCTTCCTTGAATCTCTACCCATTTAAGAAAAGTCTTCCTTTCAAGCTTTCAGCACCTGAAGGGCTCACACCACTGCTTTGTTAAGATTGAGCTCACTTTCCAATTCAAATGGAATGTGGTCAGCATCTCAGCAGGGAAGTCCAGTAATGCTCAGGGCCTCACCACTGTTCTCACTCCTTGGAAGATCTGGGAAAGAATAGCTCTACTTCTGAGCACCTGTTTTCTATCAGTGCACCAGAAGAGTGGGCTATAAAGAGAAAAGGGTTGTGGACAGAACTGCATGACGAAAGAAACTTGCCCTTGATAAAGCATGATAAAGGCTCTCCGCTCTCCCCAAGTTGATAAATGACACAATATACAGACTGAACATTCTTTATCCAATACATTTGGAACAAGAAGTATCTCAGACTTCAAAATTGTTTTGGATTTTGGAATGTGTGCATAGACTATATAGCCAGATTACAGAGTTCAAGTGGATATTGGCAACTCTCCAAATTGATAGTACCTTAGCACAGGAGAAGTGAGTTGCTTCACACTCTTGCCAACACTTAGTATTTGGAGTATTTTTAATTTTAATCAGAATGTTGTGTCTCTAGAGGTATTACATTTCCTGATAACTAAAGAAATTAAGCAACTGTCAGGAGTTTTGCCCATCTTTCTAGTAGGATGTTTGTATTTTCTATCTGATTTTAAGAGTACTTTATAGTTCTGGACATAAATTTCCCTTAGTTTTTCCAAATCCATGGGTCATCTGCTCTTTTACTGGTGCTTATTTGAATTTTCTTTATTTTAATGAAACAAAAAGCAATCATCCTTTTTTTAATGTTTTGATAGTGTGCAAAATCATAAAAACATTCACCTATGCTTTCTTCCAAGAGCTTTATTTTTTCTTTCAAAATTAAATACATATTCAGAATTGAAAGTTGTATGATAAAGTATAAGATAATTATTTTTCCTTGTACCTAAGTGAATCAATATTGTTTACTGAAAAACAACTTTTTCCTGTCTGAATTGCAGTACCACCTTTGTCCCAAATCCAGCAGGTCTGTTTCTAGACTCTCTTCTATCGCTTTGGTCCATTTTTCGACTTCATACCAATGCAGTGCTGTCATTACCACAGCCCTATTGGACACCTTGACATCTGGCAATTAGATGCTCCAACTTTGCTTTTCTTCAAGGTTGTCTTGACTACTCCTAGCCTTGAATTGTCACAGTATAAGGTGGAACATCCCTAGTCTGAAAATCTGGTATTTGAAATGTTCTGAAATCTGAAAGTTTTTGAACACCAAGATGAGGCTAACTGGTAAGCCTGTGCAAATATTCTTAAATCCAAAAAGTCTGAAATCTGAAACTCTTCTGGTTCCAGGTATTCTGGATACTCAACCTCTATATACTTCCATTTATTTGAGTCTTAATTTTCCTGAATAATATTTTGTAATTTTCTGTACAATGTTCTGACATATGTGACTTAATTTTCCTTTAGATATTCTTCACGTGAAAGAATAAACTGCCATGTTTTCACTAGAAAACAAAATTTTTGCTGCAGATGTTCTGTGGCTACTCTTAATCAGAATAAGAAAACTCACTTTAATTTCTGACTTGCTAAGAAATTCTCACGATTAATGAATTCTAAATTTTAGCAAGTGCTTTACTCATTATCAAAATAATCAATGGATTTTTAAATTTTCTCTTAATTTGGGGGATTGCATCAATTGCTTTGTGAATGTTTGCAAACATTATCTATGCCATCTATGTTTGTAACAAAATACTGTCTACAATTTTCCTTTATTATGTTGTCCTAAACAGATCTGATACAAACGTTATGCTGCTCTTATGAAAAAGAATTTATGTTTTCCTGATGAGTCCACTCTCTGTAAAAATTTACATAGGATGGTGCTTTAAAAATTCACCAGTAAAGCCATATCAGCTTGGGGTTTTCTTTGTATATGGGTTACTGAAAATGGATTTAATTTCGTAAATAAGGAACACCCCGTGGATAAACTATGCCATCTTAAACAGAAAATAAAAATTCAGATTTTCTAATTCCTGTTTTACTAATTTTAAATAATTTGCATTTTTCTTGAAATTTGCCCAATTTATCAAGGATTTATTTGTAAAACAGTTGACTACTTAATCCATTTGTATTTAATTACTTTCATTTTTGAGTTTGTATCTATCATCTTGCTACTTGTTTTCTATTTACTCACCTGTTTTTGAACATGCTTTCTTTCTTCTGAATCAATTATTTTTACGAATTTATAGTTTTCTTATTAAATTTCCAGATATACACTTTTCACTGTATTTCAGTAATGGTAGGGATTGTAACATGCATCTTTGACTATAGACTAAGAAAAATGCTACAGTTCAACAGTAATCCTAGAACATCAGAAAATTGAGTTCTTATCATCAGGTATACTTTTTGTTGGTTCTACAAAGTTTATTTGGTACATTTCCAATTTTGTAACTTCCCAGGGCAACATTCAAAACCTCTGGTGCTTTCTCGGTCCTCCTACAATGCACCAAGAATAAGCAAAAGGTATGAAAAGATGCATACTGGTGTTGAGTTGACACATAATAAATAAAACTAAGAAATCCAATTTTGTCCTAAGACAAAAGCAACGAATAAAACACAGCTAACAGAAAGAGATTATAAACATAAAGTCTGACTATTATAAAATTCATAAAGATAAAGAAGAGAAGCTAAAATTTAATTAACTAATTAATTTAATTTTTTTTTTTTTTGGTACCTGGGATTGAACTCAGGACCTTGCACTTGCAAGGGAGGCACCAGAACCACTGAGCTAAATCCCCAGTCCCGAAACCTTCATTTTTAATATGAATGCTTGGCTATAGGGCCCTTTTCTCGCACATCATCTCTAAATTCTAGGGGAAAAGCTAAAAACTAAATCTTTTCTCCTTTGATACATGAAATATAACAGAAGAAGGGCCCCAATGAGCAGTAAGGAAAGTCACAAAGAGGTCCAAAGTAATCAGGAAATGACAAGCTGGCTGGCTTTCACTGTCACAGCAGAAAGGTCATCAAACTAGAAAAATAACATGATGAAAGCATCCTAACATAAAACTAAACAAGTCAGGATGATTACAAGTCGGGCTCTGATACATCACTTTCCCATTCAGCCGAGGGCTCTACACTCCTCTTTCGTCTTCCCTCATAGCACAGAGCTCTGAGGATACTGGATCTATATTCTAGGACCATACAAAGATGTAACCAGCAAAGCTGATAAAGGAGGGCAAAAGCAAACTGATATAGAAGTGAATATAAATAATTTTCTCCTTTCTTCCCCTATCCCTCCTCCCTTTGCTTTCATAGTTAACAACCTTAGATGCTGTTATATTTGTGTTTTATTGCAAGCTGCTAGAAATGCTTTTTGAATGTAGAGATAAATAAATATGTAAAATAAAGTTCTAAAAGTGCTTGCCCTGACTACATATCAGAACACCCACCACGCTATGAAAAAATATGATATCCCCATGCAAAAGCATCATCCAAACTAAAAATATAAACTCAAGTGGGAAATCCAAGCTGCAAGTCAGCTGAGATGAACCCTAATTTGCAACACCGGGTTATCTGGTTTAAAAAAAAAAAAACAACAACTCTGTGTCTGGTTTGTTTTTAAAATTCCTACAAAAGGCATTAAATTTTTTTTGCAGTTATAAATAATTCAATATGGATTACTCCTCTTAATTATAGTAACTACAAAAATAAAGGTTTAGAATATTGTTGAAAACATCTGTAACCATATCAAGTGTTTTGATGATGTCAAGTAAATCTACAAAACATTCACTATAAGAAGTCCTCAATCTTCTACTAAATTATAAAACAATCTTCACATAAAAACACTCTCTGTTATACTTTCATAACAGTATCTACAGATTATTTTCACATAACCTAATAAATAGCCTGTAAAAGCTATAATGCCAATGCTCTAAAAAATAAAAAATATAAATACTCTAGGACTGATTTGCTACAACAGTAAATCCATTTAAAAAATACAGTAATGCAATCATTACCTGAACTTTAGTAGATAAGACCATCATAAAAAGGAGTTTAATCTTTATTATGTACCAATATGAGAGTAGATGCTCTTTAAATTATCTACCCATTAATATGAAAGATATAAGTTATAGATAAGGCTACAAGAACTAAACTATATTCTTTAGAGAGGACTATGAGAATCCTATTAATAGTAAGAATGAGATTAATCTAATCAGGCCAAAGATCAAGAGGCAACTTAGAAACTATCAATCAGAGCACCCAGAATCCTGCAACATAATATTGTGTGATCTACAAGAGTGAGGCTGTAAAAAGAATATTTATTACAGAAAAAGAATACTTTAAAGAATATTCTGTCCTCATTTGTGGAGAGAAGATGAAAGAAAATTCAACCAAACCATTCAACTAACTAAATTAAATCTAGCTTACTAAACCATAACCAATAAGAAGCTAAAAACACAGGTGCCTTTAATATCCCTGATATGCTCCCTTATTTGCACTACCTCATTACTCACAGAGCTCAACATAGCTGGAGGCATGAAAGGCACAGTTTGCAATGTTTGAAACACAGAAAAATATAGGAGGAAAAAGAAACTCTAAAGTGATTTGACTCCTTAAATATTAAGCTAATTATACAATGCCCATTCCTTTCACATGGTAGATTTCAAAGCTTTAAGTCAATTGGAAATGCTCATGCAGCTCACAGTTTAAAACCAATTCTTTGCAAGTATCCAACAATTTGCCCCAAGGTCTTGAGGAAATGACATTCCATCAATATTCTATTTATACCTTGCAAACTGTATCCACATCCCAAGGTATTATAGTCCTTAGATCGATGATTTCACAAGACACTCCAAGCTTTTCTCTTGCCATCAAAGCTACTTCCCTGATGACATGAACCTAAGAAGAGAAAAATATTCAGAGACTGACCAGAAAGATTCAGGCCTAAAAACCTAGTTAAATGCTGACATCATTATTTATAGAGTATTGGAATAGATCTGAATGAACAATTCATAAATTTTAGACATGTTATCCATATTCTGCCAAAATAATCAAATATAAATGTCTAAAAGGTAGAGATTCTTAGAGAAAAGGAAAGAAGTAGGTGCTGGAGATTCTGATTCCAAAGATAGCTCACAGTAGGTAAACAGTCATATGTAGTTTGTAAGGAAAAGATACAGAGAAAGAAATATAGGGCAAACATCAAGGAATCTTATAGCTCAACAACATTTAGGAGAAAAACATCAGTAAAAGAAGTTCACTAAAAGTAAAACAAAAAAAGAATAGCTAAAGAGATAAGGAAAAAATAAAAAACAGGAGACAGAATATCCCAGAAGCTAAAGAAAACATCCATTTCATAAAGATAGCAGCCAATGTCACATAAAATAGTGCTATGGGATAAGATCTACATTTAACAATTGTAATACTAGATTACTTTAAGTAGGTTTAGTAAATTAATGGATACAAAGGTCATAAGGTACAGGAATACAAAGAAATTAAATAATTAAATAAAGATAGTATAATATAGCCCTTCAAGTTTAATGATACGATCCAGGCATGGTAGCATATGCCTGTAATCCCAGCTACCCTGAAGATCACAAGCTGGCCAGCCTGGGCAACCGAGTGAGAACTTGTCTCAAAAACTTTTAAAAAGTGGCTTGCACTATGCAAATCAGTACAGAGGTTCCTCAAAAAACAAAACAGATACACCATACCACTTCTTGGGATTAAAGTCAGCATACTGCAGGGATATTTGCATACTATTTTTTTTGTGGCATAATTTACAAGAGCCAAGCTATGGAACCAGCCTAGGCACCCAAAGACAGATGAATGAATAAAGAATATATGGGTATCTATATAAAATGGAGGATTATCCAGCTATAAAAAAAAATTATATCATCTGCAGGAAAACAGATGGAATTGGAGATCATCATGGTAAGTGAAATAAGTCAGTCTCAGAAAGACAAGTTTCACGTTTTCCCTAACATGTAAAAACTCAAAAAAGAAAAAAATGATGGCATGAAATTAGAAAGGAGATAAAAATTCCACAAGAGGAAGGGAATAGGGAGTGTAAAGGAGGATAACAGAGTGGATGGACATGATCTGAATATATTATATGCATGTACAAATTACTACATTAATCAGCACTAATAAAATAGAGTAAAATACAATAAAATAGAAAATGGGAAGGGGAAGGGAAGTTTGGGATGTAGCTCAATGGTACAGTGCTTCCCTAAAATACATAAGGCCCTGAGTTTGATTCCCAGTATCACAAAATAACCAATTTAATAAGTTTAGTGATAAGAGAAAAGAGGAAGACATAATGGTATTTAAAGGGAAAGGCATTCTTTACATATGAAGGTAAGACATACAACTTTTTAATGAAAGAAACATAGAAAAAAAATACCTAAAGAGGCAGGAAGGTGAGGCATCAGCTTGTAGATCATAGTCCTAGAGAAGGGAAAATGGAATGTAATCTGACACAGACTTGCAGTGACAGCTACAAAAGGAAAAGACACCTTTTCTTCAAATACAAAAGGAAGAAAGTAAAGATTAGTAGGGAAGTGTTGAGTCTGACAGAAGAGCAAGGTATGGGAATTAGGACCTACACAACAGAAGCAAGGTGACAGGGATGTGGATAAAAAGGTGGAGGACAAAATGGTTCACCACAACCAGAAAGGGCACTTTCAGTGAGATGTGACTCACCATGCAGCACGGTGACCCTACAGCAGAAGAGAACCAGAAGGGCTGCTGCTCTCTATGCCAAAAATTGGGCGGAGAAAGTAGGAGCTTGGGACACTGTAAAAATCTTTGTGATCATCTTTATATCGAATGCATTTTTAGTTTTCCAAAGTAGGCACACACTATACTGCCCTCAATTCCTAAAATAAAGTATATCTTTTATAGAGAAAAAGTGACCATTTTTGAGAGAGAGAGAGGGAGAGAGAGAGAGGGAGAGAGAGACAGAGACAGAGAGAGAGAGAGAGAGAATGAGAATGAATCAGAGTCTATGGCAAGAGAAAAAGAATCTTGAGTTTAAAGTTTAGAGGTAGAGAAGTATAGCAACAAGACATAGGAAAGGCTGAGCTGGATCAATGGAGAAGGTCTCTGTAAAAGAGAAAAGTATGGAATTCTGAGGCTGGAGCACTGGAGAAGTCCATACGGCCAGCAAAATACTCACAAAAGATGACAGGAAATGGGAGGAAAAGGATCCTAAGTCAAGTGCAGCAACCGGAATGTGGATATAATATGCATCAAAGGTGTTTTAAATCAATACATCTTTTTAAACTCTCAGTATATTTTATCATATGCTTATATACTTTAGTATTACAGAAGAGGCACATCATTTTCACTCAAATCAGTACCACAAACTTTAGGTTGTTTTTTTTTGGTTTTTTTTTTTTTTGGTACCAGGGATTGAAAAGATCTTGCACTTGCAAGGCAGGCGTGGTGCCACTGGGCTAAATCCCCAGCCTGGTTATAAGTAAATTCTGAGAAGAGACTACAGCTAATAATATCATATTACGTACTCGGAATTCACTACTTGAGAATGCATCTTAAGTGTCCTCACCATACACATGTATATACACACAAAATAGTAACTATGTGGGGTTGAATGTGTCATTGACTTGACTGTAATCATTTTACAATGTATACACATATCAAATTATCACTTTGAATATCTTAAATATACTTGTACACCTTAGATATGTATAATTTTGTTAATTATACCTCAATAAAATTAGAGGAAAAAAAGAAATCAACATCAGTAGTACCAAACACACTTAATCTAAGATATAAAGAAAATATCATTTTCAATTCTCCATGTACTAGGATTAAAAATGAGGGCTTCCAAGCACAACATGCATGGGCTTTAAGAGTTGGGATCACCATTACTAACCTGAGTGCCCCAGGCAACTAGAGTAATGTCACTCCCTTCCTGTATGACTTCGGCCTGTGACAGTGGAATAGTGTATGGTTCTACGGGAACCTGTTCCACTAAATACAGAATCGGGGAGAAAAACAAAAGGTTAATATATAAGAAGCTTCTTGTGACAAAGCCTTATCTTTATTTTTTTCTTTTCCCAAATTCTGTAAGTTATTTAAATTAGAAATAGCACTATATGGCTCTAAGATACTACTATACAGGTAAACAAATATAATATATATGTATAAAATATATCAGCTATCCTGAACAGAAAAAAGTCATTAGTTAGAAACTAAAGATATTTTAATAAAGTATGGACTTTAGTCAATAACGACATCTCAGTAATGGTTTATTAATTGTACCAATTGTACCAATTGTACCACACTAATGTAAGACATTAGTAATAGGAGAAACTGGGGCCAGGAGATCTAGCTCAGCAGTTCCACTGCCTGGCTCACAAGTGCAAGGACCTGAGTCTGATCCCTGGTACCCCCACCCAAAAAAAATAATAATAGGAGAAACTGTATGTGTCATATATGGGAATTCTCTACAATATCTATTTTTTGTAAATCTAAAACCATTTTGTTTAAAGTTAAAACATTGTTAATATAGCTGCTAAAACTTTATCCAAAATGAATTAAGTTTTTAGACCAATTTTCTATCAAGTAGCAATTATACAGTGGTTTAAAAAACAGTGGGGAGAGCTGGGGATTTAGCTCAGTGGCACCTGCCTCGCAAGCACAAGGTCCTGAGTTTGATGCCTGGTACAAAAAAAACCCTAAAATAGTGGAAATATAGTAGAACCAAATTTTTAAGTATATTTTACTTTTGCACCAGGCATCAATGAACATTTCATCAACTGTTACGTTGAAATACCTTCATTTTCCTTTTTTTTTCTTAAATTATTTTATTTATATATTTTAGGTATACAATACATTTACATTTATCATTGGGTACTTGTACCTGTACATGATGTATATTGGTTATTTTTTCCTCATTCTCTGTCCTCCCTTCACTCCCTCCACCCTTCCCCATTTACAAAGACTGTTTCCATTTTTTCCTTTTCTCATAATTTTTCCTTTCCCTTCTTTCCTTTCCCCTTCCTCTCCCACTTCCCCTACCCCTTTGGACCTTTTCTTCCTATTTCACATTATCTGTTATTCATTTTAATCCTTATTTACACTTTCAGTTTCTCACACCAAAGCCACCTAAAACAGACCTCAAAAAGATAAAACGAATCAGCTCCACCAAGGCAGAAAGAACAAGCCAGTGGTATCCCAAAGAAAACTATTTTATGTCTTCCTGTGCAACCAAATACATTCAATAAAGAACTGAATGAACTGAGAATTTTAAAATGGAGTTGAGTAGGAAGTTGATGAAACTTCCCAGTTAGGGAAACTTTCTTGAGTTCTTCTAAGAGAAATAGAATAGCATAAGAGCTGAGTAAAATTGTCTCTCCCTTTTGTTCATTTTCCTGGCAGTCTTTTTATTATATTGTTATACACACTTTTCTTTTTAACTCAAAGAGCATTGCAGAGTAAAATGGAACCAAAAGCCCCCTTCTGCTGCCCAGTCCTTCCAACTTCACTGCCCAGAAATAATTAATTCTAACAAATTCCTGAGTGTTTACAGTTCACTGCTTTCACTCTTTCAGTCAAATTCCAAATTCTCTTCCTACATTTGGCAAAACTCCTACCCTACGAGGTGAAGTGAGTTTCACATGCTTGCTTTCTAAACTTCCCTTGCATACAGGTCAAAAGAACAAGCTATCAATCAAATGCACCTAGACTCAGAATTGGAAGCTCAAGACATGAAAGCAGAGCGGTCCAGAATTCATTCTAGAATACTAGAAACAGTGCAGGAAAATCCAGCATCCAGGACCAGTGGTATCAATGACTCAAACTGCAGTGCAGTGCCCACTGGCAGCCTCTGGGGCATGTTTGCAGGACAAATTATTTTGAACATTGCTTTAAGCCTGGCTCTCAGGCACCCCAGAGATCTTTGAGCTATTTATTATCCTTCAATAAATATTTTCTGCTCATATTGAGCTCAGTTGATTTTATTTGCTTAAAAACTAAGAATTCTGACTGATGGTATACACTTCCAGATATTTACAATATGCAAGTAGTCATACATACATATAAGCCTATCCTTTATCTTTTTATAAATAGAATCACACTGTACACACTACTTAGAGCCTTTATAAATTCAACTTCTTTTTTCATTTAGCAATATGTTTGGGCCATATTTCCACGTCAAAATATAGTTTTAACCCCTACATAAAAACTATTAAATCTAATAGTGCTGTCAGTTTTGTACCAAGGAATTTTACTCTGTGTGTGTGTGTATGTGTGTGTGTGTGTGTGTGTGTGTGTGTGTGTCCACACCAATAACATCAGATGAGGTCAGGTGCATCCAGGGTGATGTGGCCATAGACTAAACCAATAACATTAATAACCAGAGAAAACTGAATAGTATTTAAATGATCAACATGTTTAAATAAAAAAGAAAAATGATACAATCTTTTGTAGGTAACTCTTAAAGGTAGATAAGCTAACAAACCTAAGACATAAGCAGTGGTAGAATACTTATAAGCATTAAAATATCTTTTCGAAGTTTTTGTGTAGCACACAAACTATGTTGTTAGATTCTTACACTGAGCCACAATTTACAAGTCAATTCTTTTGAAAATAACATTTCCTTGAATCACAGCCATGCCATTTATTTATATATTGCCTATCACTGTTTTCACCTAGTATAGCAGAGCTGAGTAGTTGGAACAGATACAAAATGGCCTACAAACTTAAAATATTTACCATCTGCCAGCCCCAATTATAAAAAGTGCTTCCAGAGATTAATTCTACTCCATTCTAAACCTAGTGATGGATGAATAGATGGATGGAGGGATGGATGGACAGATGCACAGACGGACAAATGGACAGACATGGAGCCAGATACACTGAAGTAGAGATACATTCTACTTAGCAGTTAACCAGTGTGAAGGTGAAGAACAATGTTGATAATATGTGACCAAAAATAGCACACAGGTTTTCTGCCATGATCAAGTCTTCTGGTAGCAGGATCTATGTCAGTAGATAAGTCCTGAAGTAGCACACATTTAGTCTTGCTTACGAAGTAAGTGGTTACCACTCAAAAGTCCAGGCTTTCCTGCCTTATAAATGAGATGGCACCTGGTGATCAGCAAATCCCTAGAACACAGGACTCTAAAGGCTGCCACTCCGAAAGAAAGGGGTTCTCATCTTGGCCTATTGTCTTTGAAATGTTGCCAATGATTGACTGCTTTGTTCTCTTAAATAAATTACCCAGAAAAAATAAGCTCTCATTATTTTAACAATTAAGGAACAACATAACAAACAATGCTTTATTCTCTATTTTAAAACTATTATGTAGAGAATTAGATCAAGAGTCTTATATTAAGAACAACCAAAAAAATCTTTACTAAGATTTGCATCAGTTTAATCCTGAGATCAGGAAAATAAGAATATAATTTTAATATGTTCATTCATTTAAACTTGGTAAACAAGTCACTTGAAAAGCTAGTTAAAATTCTTTTTGGCATCCAAAACTACAGATGTTGGCTGGCCCACCTGTTTGACTCTGTATTTATTTTCCAATAAAGAAGGACTTCCAAACAAACAAACAAAAAATTCACAGGCATTTTGTAGTTACATTAATTTGAAAGTAAAACTCATTATTTCAAATTAGCATTGTAGTATCCCTAATCCATGGCTATGTGCTTTTTGAAAGACCCAGTAAACAGAAGTCAGAGCATAAGTTTTCAAGAGCTGACCATATACAGTCAGCTTATAGATTTCTATGTTCATAGCAGTGAAACTGGACCCATTCTATTTCACCACCTGCTAATTACATTAAATTTTTTGCACTAAAGGAGCACTCCACAGAGAAATCCTGAAGTACAAAATATATACAGTATTGATGAAAATGTACAACTTAAGAAGCAAAAAGGAAACAAAACTTTTCTAAGCCAAAATACAAAGATAAAATAATCTGACAGATTTTTAAATCCACACTATAGAATTTCTACATATTTGCTTGCTTGTACGTATAAATGCATTATACACATATTTCCAATTCACTTACAGATTCATGGTATGAATTTGCTCATGTTGGCCATTTTAGTTCCCATCCTCCACATTGCTTCCAATTCTCCTTTAAGAAGGCATCTTAAAGACATTTTTTGAAAGAGACGGGATGTACAAATAATATGTGTAATAGTAATATTACTTATTCATTTGATAGTGAGTGTGTACCCAACATATTCAGCCATCATGTGAAATGCTGGGTTGAAACTGAAAAGGGTAGTCCATGCTACTGAGAAGCACAGACTAGACTGGGACTTACAAAAATGGAAGGATATTACTAGCCAACAAATAAAAACATATTATCAGCAACAAGAACAAAGTGCTCTAGGAATACAAAGAGAGGCAAGCTGTTACAGGGATCAAGGCAGTTTCCCCAAAAATGAATGCAACTGATGGAGGCTTAAAGAAATGGAGACCTGGCATGAGAGAAAATAAAAAGGGGATTCCACCCTGAATGCTGAAATGTTGAAACTTTATTAAGGTATTTATATAAATAAATGCTGAAACTTATAAATTATAAAGGCTGAAACTTATGAACTATATTCCTACATCTCTAGAAAGCATTTTCCAATTCTTTCAGATTTAATATATTAATAATTTCTACAGAAAGCATCTGCAGAAAAGTAACCACTCAAACTTAATGATGCCAGTTTCCATGCAAAGCACACTATGACCACCTCAGAGATAATAGGGTCATTTCTCCTTCCTGGCACTAATTTCCAGTAATGGCAGTTTCCCACAAATGTGAAACTTGGGTAGGGCTTTATTCATATTGCATTATACATGATAGTAAAAAAAAACCCAAAAAAACCCCAAATGTTCCATTGAAAAAGGGTGTAGAATATACATTCAAAATGTTAGTTCATGCTGCCTGGTTACTGTAGCATATTCAAAGTTTCCATACCTGAAAAGATCTATCTCATTTGTTAGAATTAATAGTCCAATGA